AGGGCCTCTTGGGGGCCTCTTGGGAGCTTCTCGGGGCCTCTTGGGCCGTCTTCTGTCGTCTGACGCCTGCGGAGGCCGTCTTTGAGGCCTCTCTGGGCCGCCTTGGGGCCTTCTTGGGGCGGTCCAGGGCAGTCTTGAATGTCTATTGGGCCGTCTTGGAACCCTCTAGGACCTTCTTGGAGGCCCCTTGGGCAGTCCTGGGGCCTTCTTGGGAGCCCTCTCGGGCTGTCTTGGGGCCATTTTGGTGCCTTCTGGGCCTTTCTGGGCCGTCGGAAGCCACGCAAATGAGAACGCAAAAATCGCCACAAACGTGCCGCCGAATACTGTCGACCTCTGCGCGGCGTCGGACGCCGAGCCGCGTGGCCAAAATATCCCGGACGCCGCGTGGCTTACATATCTTTGCGGGCGCTCGCCCCTCTCATGCGCCTTGTTTAGGTTATATTGGGCTTGTTATCACGTTTCTCCCGGTTCTCATGAACACTGCCTGGTTTGTCTAGGGGCCCACCTACGCTTGTGCGGGGTTTGGATGGAGCTGTCGCGTGCTTGGCCCGAGATGCAGGATGCGCAGGATGCGTTGCGTGTGGTACCGAGCGTCTTCTCTTCTGGGACAAACCACCCCCCGTCGTCATCGGCCTGTTTCTGGGGTTGCCTTGGGTTTCTGTGGGGACCGCGTAGAGCGCCTAAACGCTTGCTCCAAATGTCCGAGCGGAGGCTTGGCCAAAATATCCCGCCAGGCGCTCGCTCAAACCATCCTGGCATCACCCCTGCGTCCTCCACGTGCGCCCGTCCAGGAGCGCGACGTTTAAATCGCGCTTCTCCAGGGGGCGGCGCGAGAGCGCGAAGATACATATCGTGTTTCGCGATTCGATGTCTGGAGGCTTAGCTTGCCTACCCCCTCTCTGTCCTCGCCCCCCTTCCAAGAAACCCGCCGAGACGAAGGATGCGCAGGGCGCTTCACATTTGACACCTGGCGTCTTCTCTTCTGGATACATCACCGTCCGCCGTCATCGGGCTGTGTTGGGGGTTCCCTTGGGTTTTTTTGGAGCAGTTTTGGAGCCCCCTGGAAGTTCTCCAGTGGCCGTTGCTTGGCGTACGTATCCCGGCGTCGAGCGCCTAAGCGCTTGCTCCAAATGTCTAAGCGGAGGCTTGGCCGAAATATCCCGCCAGGCGCTCGCCCAAACCATCCTGGCATCACCCTTGCGTTCTCCACGGGCGCCCGTCCAGGAACGCGACGTTTAAATCGCCCCGCCACCGTGCCAGCGCAGCTCTTGTGACACCTCTTGTCTCTATTGAAGACGCCTAATGCGAAACACCACCGCCCCCTTGCCTTATTGGAAACGTTTATGTGGCCAAACGTTGGGCCAAAGTTTGTCCAAGGTATTGGGCTATGTGTTCCCACGGCCGTTGTGGAACCCCCTGGGGAACACTTGGGGGAGGAAGAGGGAGAGGATTAGACGCAGGAGCAAAAGGTGGAGGAGGAGGAGGAGGAGGAGGAGGAGGAGGAGGAAGTAGGCCTCTCGGGGGCCTCCTGAGGGCCTCTTGGGGGCCTCTTGGGAGCTTCTCGGGGCCTCTTGGGCCGTCTTCTGTCGTCTGACGCCTGCGGAGGCCGTCTTTGAGGCCTCTCTGGGCCGCCTTGGGGCCTTCTTGGGGCGGTCCAGGGCAGTCTTGAATGTCTATTGGGCCGTCTTGGAACCCTCTGGGACCTTCTTGGAGGCCCCGTGGGCAGTCCTGGGGCCTTCTTGGGAGCCTCTCGGGCTGTCTTGGGGCCATTTTGGTGCCTTCTGGGCCTTTTTCTGGGCCGTCGGAAGCCACGCAAATGAGAACGCAAAAATCGCCACAAACGTGCCGCCGAATACTGTCGACCTCTGCGCGGCGTCGGACGCCGAGCCGCGTGGCCAAAATATCCCGGACGCCGCGTGGCTTACATATCTTTGCGGGCGCTCGCCCCTCTCACGCGCCTTGCTTAGGTTATATTGGGCTTGTTATCGCGTTTCTCCCGGCTCTCATGAACACTGCCTGGGTTGTCTAGGGGCCCACCTACGCTTGTGCGGGGTTTGGATGGAGCTGTCGCGTGCTTGGCCCGAGATGCAGGATGCGCTGGATGCGTTGCGTGTGGTACCGAGCGTCTTCTCTTCTGGGACAAACCACCCCCCGTCGTCATCGGCCTGTTTCTGGGGTTGCCTTGGGCTTCTGTGGGGACCGCGTAGAGCGCCTAGACCGCCGGACGCCGTCCAAGATCGTTCGCAGGCGGCTTCGGAACGCGCTCCGATGGCTCCAGATGCCGTCCAAGACGCCTGTCATGACACCAAGAAGGTCCCAGAAGCCTCCAATACGCTCCGAGAGGCAGCCCAAGAGAGGCCCAAGAAGCAACAATCGTGCCATTCCTATGGGAAAATGTATTTTTTTCGCATGTTCGCCTCTTGGGCTTTCGTCGCGTCCAAGACGGCCCAAGATGCGCCCAAGACGGTCTACGAGGCCTCCGGGAGCGCTCCAAGGCTGCGCACGAGTGGCCCAGGACGGCCCCAAGACGGCCGAAGAGAGCCCCAAAACGAGTTCGAGAGGGGCCCCAGACGGAGAAAGCCAACCTCGAATTCCGAGCTTCCAGCCCAAGAGGCCCCAGGAGGCGCCAAAATGCCGCCAAGAGCCGCCAAAAGGCTCCCAAAAGCACCCCAAAACGTTCCGAGAGGCACCCCAAGAGAGGTTCAAGAAACAAAAATCGTGCCATTCCTATGGGGGGAAAACGTATATTTTTCGCATGTTCGCATCTTGGGCTTTCACCGCGTCCAAGACGGCCCAAGAGGCCTCCAAGACGGCCTAGGAGGCCTCCGGGAGCGCTCCAAGGCTGCGCGCGAGTGGTTCAGGACGGCCTCGAGACGGCCCAAGAGAACCCCAAGACGACTTCGAGAGGGGTCCCAGAAGGAGAAAGCCATTCTCGAATTCCGATCTTCCGGCCCAACATATCCCAGGAGGCGCCAAAACGCCGCCCAGAGGCGCCAAAAGGCTTCCAAAATCAGCCCAAGACGTTCCGAGAGGCACCCCAAGAGAGGTCCAAGAAACAAAAATCTTGCCATTCCTATGGGGAAATATATATTTTTCGCATGTTCGCATCTTGGGCTTTCACCGCGTCCAAGACGGCCCAAGAGGCCTCCAAGACCGCCCCAAGACGGCCCAAGAAGCTTCCAAGAGGGCCCCAGGACAGCCCAAGAGGGCCCCAAGACGGCCCAAGAGGCGCCCAAGATGGCCCAAGAGGGCCCCAAGACGGGCCCAAGAGGGGGCCCAGAGGGGGACCACGAACCGCAAGCTCGAGCCTTCCGCCCCAAGAGGCCGCCAGGAGGCCCCAAGGAGGCCCCTCAAGAGGCCCCAGGAGACCCCCAAGAGGCCCAAAGGAGGCCCCGAGAAGCCCCAAATCGGCCCCCAAAATGCTTCGAACCTGCTTCCAGGAGGCCCCCGACAGGTTCAGAGGCTCCCGAGAAGCTACGTCAAACTCCCAGCGAGCGGCCGGACGAGGCCCCCCACAAAATCACAAGAGGGTTCCAGTATTTGTATCCTTCAGCGCTTTCTGGCCTTCTTCCCCCTGCCCCCTTCCCTGCGACTTTCGTTGACTCAAGCTCGCCTCCTAGCTAGAACCTAAGCGCGCGCGAAGCGCGCGCGTGGTTCTAGTTGTTGTATATTTGCGAACCCAAATTAAACCCAAACTAAACCCACACTGAACCAAAACTATAGATCATGTGGTATGAGTTTGGGTTGAAACCAAACCCAAACTAAACTTTCATGATTTATTCAAATCCAAGGCCAAACTAAACCCAAACCAAACCAAACCCAAACTCAACCCAAACTAAACCCAAACTAAACCCAACCCATCTGAGTTCGGGTTGAGTTTGGGTTTCAATTAAACCCAAACTAAATGTTCAGTAATATGTATATATGAGAGCAACTTCGAAATACCTGGCCATTCTTTTCCCACCAGACACGAATGGGGCCGGCTCTGAGCGCCCACTCTAAAATTCGAGCACGAAATACAAAATTGCGAAGCCGGAGAATCATGCCAACAAACATATGTTATCATGTCGGAGTGCACGTCCAGAGCCGGTCCCGACCATGTTTGGTGGAAAACATACAAAGTCCCCAAATAGTTTCCTGCCCATCGACCTTCCTGGGAGTTCAGTTTGGGTTCGGTGTCAATCCAAATTCAACCCGCAAGCTTCGGATAAAACCTTATCCTACGTCCTTTGTCCCTCCCCTCTCTTTCTACCCTGTTGTGTCAACTTCAATTTTTGTTTCATCTCTCGACGGTCTCTTTTCATCTATTTCCCTACTACGTGCTTTTCATTCTCATCTTCCCTCGCAAGACTGCAGTCGACTAAAAGTATAATACCTACTTAGGACAGGGCACGAAGCGAACCAGGAGGGAGGGCCACGCTATCGAGCTCGACGTCGACGGACAACTTATCACCGCATGCTCCCAATAATAACTACTTCACATCACAATAAACAAACTAGATCTAACGTAAGACTACGCCGATGACAAACCTACCACACCATACATCACAACACCATAACACAACATGCTATGACGTAGACCCACAAGGGCTTATACATGTACATCTATTGTAGCAACACCATTTCGAACAACCTAACCCAACCTAACATAACATATAATCTAACCTAACAAAAACAACCTAACCTAACGGATATCCTAAGCTAATGTTTAGCCTAACCGATAGTTTAATTATTAGTTTAAATTTGAGGGCAGCGGGTAGTCAATTTCTTAGGCTTGGGCTAATTCTTAGGGTAACGGTGAGTATGATTATTAGTCTATTTCGGTAGTCTCGATTAACCGAACTAGGTAACTTTAACCTTCGTAGGTTAGGTTAGACAAATTCGGTTAATCTAGCCGATCGGCTAGTTTTAGTCTCATGCAGTCTTAAGGGCTCCTCCTGCTCCTGCTCCTCCTCCTCCTCCCTCCCCCCCTCCCTCCCTCCCTCCCTCCCTCCCTCCAC